TACTGGAAAACATGCCACTGGCTATGGATGACGAAGGTTCAAAAGATGAAACAAACATGTTGTTGCCATGTACTACATTGAACAGTGAGTCCCAATGCCCTGGCAGATAGAAATCATCGCAGCAAGTGACACGGAGGTCATGTTAATGCTTGGCAGCAATCAAGAAGCTCAGGTTAAGCATCCTTTTGGTTCAGAGACAGCATAAACAACAAGAATAGGTTAAATCCAGGAAGCAGCACGTGGTAATGGAATTGTGTCAGAAAATAATGTGGCAAGAAAGAAGTTCCTGGAAGGAACAGAAGACTAGAAATGGAAGAAATGACACTCGACATGTTAAAAGGTGCCATGAGTTTTTAAGAGTTTTATGCCAGTTTATTTTTGATTTGAGGCAGTTACTTGGTTTTAATGTTTTTTATGCCACCCATGGTTGTTGTTACAATATGGGTGGCTATATAAATCTTTTAAAAGAAAATAAGAATTAAATTGAGACTGAAAGTTAACAAGACACTCTTTTTAAGCCAGAGTCTTAAAAGCTACGTTCTTTGAACATTTACTGCTTTGGCATAACTGCTAAGAAAGCTTCACTTTAAAGAGTTATTTAAATAAAGCACCCTTAACATTAAATGAATGCCTGCCATGTTAATAAAAAATGGATAATTTCCATTACCTACTAGTCACATCTCTTTCTTTACAATTAGATTTCCTCTTTTTACCAGTATTATATTTATGTTTGGGTATAATCACTAATTTTGAGTAGAAAGTCCTTCTCCCAAAATCATTGTTTTTTTGACATTCAAAGAAATAACAAAACCGCTGCCATCAAAACAACTTCCTCTTAGCTGTAACTTGGAATCCGATCAAAAATTAATTAAACAGGATGATTAACAATTGCTCCAAAATTAATGGATATACAGTATAATATACACACAGATTTTTATACATCTAGTTGAGCTAGGACATGATCGCCTAAAAAACGCCTACATTCAAAAGCAAATGTTTCATTCTGGGCTTTATGAAATAGTTGAAAATATACTTGCATTCCTATCTTCGGCTCTCTAAAAATCTAAACCTCTATAGTCATTTTTATAATGATGTTCCAAGGATGTTACATTTTAGGTTCTCATTGAAGTTATACACACCAATCTCTTTGTCTCATTCATTTAGATGGAACCATAGCACCCCCTTGTGTTTCTGCAAAGAACACGAAACTTTTCAAGTGCAGGTAGTCCTTGATTCACAATTCACAACTTTTGAAGTCACAAAGTGACATTATAGTTTTTCACACTTACAACCATTCAGCATGTGATCGAAATTCAGATGCTTGGCAACTGACTCATATTTATGACGGTTGCAGTGTCCTGGGGACAAGTGGTCATCTTTACGACTTTCTGACAAGCAAAGTCAACGGGGAAGCCAGATTCATTTAACAACCGTGTTACTAACTTAACAGCCTACAGTGATTCACTTAACAACTGCGGCAAGAAAGGTCGTAAAGTACGGGGAAAAGTCACTTAACAATTGTCTTCTTTAGCAAAGAAATTTTGGGCTCTGTTGTGGTTGTAAACTGAGGACTACCTGTACAAGTAACACACTATGTTTTTCCAATTCAAGAAAAGTTTGCCGTGTTCCCTGCTTTTGCATTTAAAACAGATCTCATATTTTGCTTACTGTATTGCTTAACATTAGTAAACATCACCTCCCAAAGACCTATTAGACCCCACAGACTAGGCTTCCTCCGGATTCCATCTGCCGGCCAATGTCGGCTGGCAACTCCCCGGGGGAGGGCCTTCTCTGTGGCTGCTCCGGCCCTCTGGAACGATCTCCCCGTTGAGATNACTCCCATCCGGTCACATGGGCGGCAAACCACTCCCACAAAGGAGGCCACACCCACAGAGTAGGTTCGAACAATTTTTGAAACCCACCACTGGATATAGCATACAGTAATTTAAAAAAATTCTGTTTGTATGTGTGCGTGTATATTGTTATAACAAAACAATGTCCAATTCAAATGTCGGATAAATTGATAGTGATGTATCTTTACAGAAAAGGTGTTGTTGTTTTTTAATCTGGAAAATCCCATTTGTTCATTCAGTTTTATTTATGGCAGTACTGTGAGCAGAAAGCAGAAATCACATCAAGCCGAGGTACAAATCTGTTCATCCTACAGAAATTGTAACTAGGTAAGTAAAAGAAGACTAGCTGTAAACTTCATGATACAAAACAGACAAAAGAAATGGGGGGGGGGGAATCAAAGGAAACCTAACTATGCAGATGAATACTTCCCCACCCCACAGATATACTAAAAGACAAATACAAACAGGGCCAAAAGTATTGGTGTCACTCCGCTTTTTCTCAAAGAATCCCAACTGACATGAAATAAGTTGAAACTGACACAAGTGCATGGCATCCGCCATTCTTTATTGCACTGCAAGACAGATGTTAAAGAATCGAATCCTTCCATGAACCATACAGATAGCCCCCAATTTACAACAGTTCATTTAGCGACCGTTCAAAATTACAACGCCACTGAAAAAGTGACATGATCATTTCTCACAGTTACGCCTTTGTAGCCAACCATGATCATGTGATCAAAATTCAGATGCCTGGCAACTGGTTCATACTTATGACTGTTGCTGTATCCTGGGGTCATGTGATTGATCACCTTTCCCGACCTTCTGCCAAGTCAATGTGGAATTATTATTAACTTATCAACTGCAGTAGTTCACTTAATTGAGGCAAGAAAAAAACAAACTAATAAAAACAGGGCAAAAGCCACTTAACTCATGTCTTACTTAACAACAGAAATCTTGGTCTCAATTGTGGTTGTAAATCAAGGATTACCTGTATTTTTTTTTCTGATGCCATTTTTTATTTTTATTCAACCCAAAGAAAGTATAATTAATCCACAAAAGAACAGTAAATATTTACAATCCATTTAGCAATTAAAGGAAAGGCTTCTATAAACTTAAATCAGTCCAGAAGACAATGAAACAATGTAGTATTCACTTACTCACAACCAAGCTGTTCCAAAGACTGAATAAATTGAAACTATTTATAAACCTTAGAAGAAAATTATTGGTTTCATTATTCTAATTATACTCCTGAATTTGAAAGTAGTTAAGTAGCTTGCTGAAATCTATTCAGATCTGAGAAATAGTCTATTGTAATAGGAACTGCCTGTTTGGCTTTTATTTAAACTTGCTAATTCCTTAATTATACATAAGATCAATTGGAAAATATAGTGTAATTAAATACTATTTTTTTCCATTGGAAATATTTTTGACACTGTAGGACCTTCCAAAATTTTAATGCTAGATTTCTATTGCTCAAGAAATGTTACCACATTATATACTGTAAATATTTGTTCATATTCAAGATTATACAGTATAGTCTATCCTATAAGACTATTTTTACTATTTATTATTAAGATAACTATATGAAAGCTATAACATCTAATCACTGTTCTGTGGTTCTTGAGAGCACACAATTTTTTTTAATACTATGATTAGATCCGTCTCCTAAAAAGAGATCCCTTAACTACAACTACTTATCTAAGTAACTTAATTGATTTTGTGTTATCATTATATCTTATATACTATCATTAACCTGCTATGAATCTAGCAGAATCAAAGCATAGTAAATAAATATCAGGACCAATTGCTAATCGTTCACAAGAAAAGCATGTTTTAAACTGCAGATTTGTTTCAGATATTTATGCCCTAAGGGAGAAGGGGAAAAAAATATGTTCTTATGCCCAACTATTTTCTTTTCCTTTACGTTCCATTTCCCTTTTTAAACACTCAACTGTATGTTGGGGGGTGGGGTAGAGTAACGAAGAAAGGAAAAGACTATTCATAACCAGTTCAGTCACACTGGTGCAGCATTTTAGGCAGATAATATTTTTCAGGTCTTTAAATAAATTTCCTTCCAAAACAAATATTTGGCTAAGCTCAAGGTAAGGAGCTTGTCCAGTTTTGCAGTGGAAACTGAGCTACGTAGTATTTTTTTTTTCCCTATAAACTTGTCATTATGAAATATACCAAAAGTAGTGGTGAAAATGCTTGCTCCATTAAGTAAGTATTGCAATAAAATAGTTTGCTGTGGCTATTTAACAGAACTACCCACCAACTTATGATCATGTATGGAAATGTTTTCTAACTGGTGCAATTGCCGTTTGATTTGCTTTGGTTACCTGGAGATGTAAACTGATTCTTCAGAAGACTTGGAACAGCATAAAGGGTCTTAATAACCAGGACCATTATAGAAGCTATGCATGGTGAGCCCGAAATAGTAACACTATATTATCAGGTGCAGTTAAAGAAGACATAAAATTATTTTAAGGTTTAAAAAAAAAAATCTGTAATCAGATACAAGTGTTCAGCACACTTAATTGGCTCAAGCAGGAGCCCACTTTTAATCCCATATTAAAAGTCTCATTAAGAAACAGCACTACAATATAGGCAATATGGATACTAAATATATTCTGTTTATATGCACCAGCAAAAGCTTTGTCTGAAGATGGAATTGCAAACAGTCGTAGCAAATCGTATTCTTTAATAAGCATTTGGGCTTGCTGGGAATGAACGTGGTTGGTTGTGTTAGAACTTTCAGTTGACTTGACAGAATGAAGCCAAAAACATTTAAAATTAAGGCCATACTGTCCAGCTGCAGGAGAATATCTTTATTATTATTTATTAAATTTATACGACACCTTATTGCCTAGAACTCTGGGTTTCCCTGTCAATCTTCCATCCAGGTGTTAACCAAAATATTTCTGATTAGCTCCAACAAGATAGGACTGATATGGTTACTCTTGGAAGCTCTATGGACTCTTCCCTATATCAGGATTTATCTGGGCTCCTGTTTTTACGTTTAAACGAGATTGGGAAAAACATTGCTTTGAAAGATTAGATCAATCTGAATGACTGGAAAAAAAGTCCATTCATGTTTATTTATAACATTAATAATATGGACAAAAAAATGCATGCAAAAAACTGTACCTGGTCCTCGTCACATTCAAGAGGGGTGTCCTTGTGTATGGTCATCTGATACTTGGCAAATAAAGTGGCAGACTGAGTAAAAGATGAACTGAACTGTGGATCCTCAAAAGAAAGTGGTACTAACCTCACCTTCAGAGCAAGGGAAAATACAATATTTTATATAATTTTTTTCCTAATACTCCTGAAGGGTAGGCCAGGCTATCATCTCCTCAGATCCTTTCAAAGCCTCTGCCAAGGAGACATACAAGAAACTCCTATCAACCACAAACCCCTCCACCACCACCATTTTACATGCTAACATGTTTCTACATGGTGAGGGCCTTCTCTGTGGCTGCTCCGACCCTNCCAGAATTCCCCAGCCAGCGAATGCTGGCTGGGGAATTCTGGGAGTTGAAGTCCAGACATCTTCAAGTTGCCAAGGTTGAGAAACACTGTGTTAGCCGACCTGAGTCTCCCGGGAATAGGGCGGCATACAAACCAAATACAACTTAAACTTAAACTTAAACAAGGCAAAAGTACCTTGCCATAAGCAATAGGGATATATATTCATACCTCTATCTGATGCAGAGCTTCTGGAGGTAAGGTGGCAAAAATGAAGTCTTCAATTGATTTGGGTTGGTTTGTTTTAGGACAACAGTTCTGACTGGTCAAACTGCGAGACTCTGATTCAAGTGAAATTGGCTTTGTCTGGCCCTGAAGTTTTTTCTGCAACTTTTGTTCCTTCCGGATGACTTTTGCTTTACGACAGGGTGGTTTATTCAAGTCAGGTCCTCTGCCTAGAATGCCAATACATTACCCAATGGGAAAAGCATATGTTGAAGGAAGCCAGGTAAATTTACTTTTGTACTTTTATTATGACTGTCTATAAAGAAAGTATTATTTTTAAAAAGTTAAGCTTTATGTAACATTTCGATTGTTGCTACTCCACCTATCCATTAAAATGTTATGGTTCTAGTGTCCTCTTATCTATTATTATATTTGCAGGTTACTGCAAGTGATGTAACTATACAGAAAAACGGACTATATAGTGATTATGACTTAGATGCAACAGAAAGTTTGCCTTCCATCATTCAGAAAAAAGGACCTTGCGAACAAGATTATATTGAAACTTTGATAAAGGATGAGGATTTTTTTCTTCTCTAAATTATTCCATTAAATAGCCAGGTTTATGTTCAAAAACACATACACAAGATTAAATTAACTACATATCTGTTAGATAACAAAATCTCAAGTCCTAAAAAAGGGGGAATTTAAAGAAGCAACACCACAGAAGAACTAAAAAAAAAATAACATCAGTGTTTTCTACACCAGCTTGAGGGGGGAGGAATAAGCACACCTGGAGCATATTTTAGCAGGCTCAAAAATTATTTTGCAAATGAAAACTTTCCTCCTTTTTCTAGTAAAGCAATTCTCAATGTTGGCCTTGAAAGATGTGTAGTTCTCAACTCTCAGAATTCCCCACTAGCATTGGAATTGAAGTCTACACATCTTTAAGCGCTGAAATTGAGAAACCCTGCTTTAGCAGAATTCCTGCTGAACACAAGAAACACAAAGTGCACTTGTTGAACCAAGGCAAAGATGCTAATTTATGTATCCAATATAGTAAAATAAATGTGAGGATTGTGAACTAACAAGCTTACAAGTACCATTACCATGAAGGAGTTAATGAAATGGAGAAGATAGCCAGCTATGCTATGGCTTTTTTTTATAGCAATAGCAATAGCAGTTAGACTTATATACC